AGTCCAATACTGACAGGGCTCCCGAGCTCCACACGTTCCGCTACACATCTCACTCTAATCCATCTGCGCTGCTATGACGCCCAGTTTCCAGCACGCCCTGCGCTGGAGCGGCGCCCAGCCCGCCGGGAACTATTTCGGCGCTTCCTGGCGGAAGGATACTTGTGCGTGAGATGCCGCGGAGGGATCAGCCGCTATATAAGGGGAGCGCAGGGGTTGCTGGACCTCTTTGCGCGGCGGCGGGGCTTCGGTGTTGGCTGGCGTTGCGCGCCGCTGCCGCCATGGGCTTTGGGGACCTAAAGTCCGCCGCCGGCCTGCGGGTCCTCAACGACTTCCTGGCCGATAAGAGCTACATCGAGGGGTGAGGGGCGGCGGGAGGGAGGCGAGCTGGGCCGGGCCGTGGCGAGGCCTGATGGGGAGCAGCGGGGTGGCCCTGGGACACGCGTGTGCGTAAACCTCGAGTCGGGTGCGCGGGCGCTGGGCTGCTGCTGGGGCGTGGGCCGTCCTGTGCTCGGCGGAGGGCGCCTTGCGGGCGCTGAGCACGCGGCTGACCTCGGCTTCTTCCTGCAGATACGTGCCCTCCCAGGCCGACATAGCGGTCTTTGAAGCTGTCGGTGCCCCGCCTCCTGCAGAGTTGTTCCATGCTCTTCGGTGGTACAATCACATTAAGTCGTACGAAAAGCAAAAGGCGAGGTATGCTTAAACTGCAAAATGAACGCACGTGTGAACTGGTGTGCAAACTGTTGTGTTTCTTTCTGAGCTTAGAGGAAGGGGCTTTTCCCTGCTGCTGCTGCATGGCCTCTTGGAACAGAAACAAGAAACAGAGTTGAGGAAGCTGAATCTGCCTTTGTGCAGATCATACAGGGCTCCTGTAGAAGCTTATAAGAAAGCTTGGGTCTTGTTCTGCCTCCTATTCAAGAGACTGTGCTGAAAGCTGGAAATTACTTAGCAGTGATCTACTTGATAGGGGCAGGATCAGAACTAGGAACTGTGAGAGAAGTCTGAGGACAACAGGCAGAAATAAAGGTGATTTGTTCAGACTTTTAATCCCAGAAGGTGACACTAAATTGAAGATTGACAATGAAGAAACACATGTGAAGAAGGGTGACTGTAAAAGCAAATGTTATCTCTTCTCTCTTTTAGCGATGTTAGTGTTCATGAAAGGTGCTGTATTGACATCCATGGTGACTGCAGGCCTCTCTGGAAAGGTACAGCATAGGCAGTATCAGTACTGCTGCACTGCCACCTTTTTGTGCCTCAGTCCTCTCCTAGAGGGGGCTCTTGTGAAGTTGGGTGGCTCAGCTCTCAAACCCAAACAGGACTGAGATGATAAAGTTTCCTCAAAAAGTCCACTCTGGAAACTTCAGTTAATTACAGAAAATTAAATCTAACTTTATGAATTTATAGCAGCAGTTCACAGTAACAATAGGAAACTAATGGGATTTTGGTCCCTTGTGCACCATCAACATGTTTTCTGTTACTATAATTTAAACAAATGAAAATGTTTTTAGGGTAACAAATTGATAACTCCTCCTACACAAAATATATTGCAGATTCCATTATGGGAATTTTTACTATTCATATAGTCAACAGGGCAGCAAAATAACACAGGATCCATCAGTGGCAGACAGGCAATCTCTATAGGATTTGCTGTAGTTTCAACTAAGGTGTTTTCAGAAGCATTGTTTTGTGGAAGGTTTTCAAGTAGCAAAATTAACTTTTTTTGTTCTTAACACAATGTTATTGCTATGAATGTACTTATGAATGGCAATCAAGTAGTATTTCTACAAATATTTGAATAGGTTCTTAATACCTGTTTTCCTTTAGTTTGCCAGGAATAAAGAAGGCTTTGGGGAAATATGGTCCTGCTGATGTTGAGGACACAACAGGTGCAGCCACAGATAACAAAGATGATGATGACATTGATCTTTTTGGATCTGATGATGAAGAGGTATTGATGACTCTCTTGTTTTAGTTTTATACACATACATATTTAGGAACCACCTGGATAGGCAAGTGTTTACCTTACTAATTAGGTTACTTTAATTTGTGACCTTAATAACGGAGACTGTTCAGGATCTCCAGACTCTGATGTCTTTGTTGAATGTAACATAAGAACTCTCCATTAGAAAGAAATAATGATGTGTTGAAATGTCTGCTTTGACTGGTTACATGATGAATAAAACAAAAATCACCATCTTTCGGCTGACAGCTGTGATGATTTGTTTTTTCCTGAGTAGATGCCAGTCAATCTATTAATGCTTGAAAGATCCAGGGGTTTGGTGCTTTTTTTTTTTTTGTGACTTTGTATTTCTCTTTCAGGAAAGTGAAGAAGCAAAGAAACTGAGGGAAGAACGCCTGGCCCAGTATGAATCAAAGAAGTCCAAAAGTATGCCTTTGAATAACTTTGACATTTTTATGAATTTGAACAGGATGATTAGTGTTTGTAATAGATAAACTTCACTGGAATGAGGCAGAAGTAGTTTGCTTCACCTGAATGGTCTGTGAGCTTAGCCTTTCCTGTAGCAAATCATTGAACCTTAGCATACTTTTTGCCCTGCCTATTATACCTTTGTTTATCTTTAGTGAAGAAGCTAAGCTTTTTCTCTACAAAGAGAACTCTGGGATCTTCTTTGGATAAAACAGATGCAAAATAGTATAAAATGCATCTGCATAAGAACTCAGCTGACTAATCGAAGAAAGTCAATCAATAGTTAGTGAGCTATGAAAGGGAAGGCTGTTGCATGCAAGTTCCTCCACAGTTACTGGTCTGAAACTGTTCAGGATTGTAGCAGTTGCAGTATTCCCTCTGTGGAAGATAAACTGTTACGTAGTATTAAGCTCCTTCTCAGATCCTCTAAGAAGGACTTTCTATGTAACAAACAATGTTAGCTTATATTATCTTTTGAGAGTATTTTTTGAAAACATGCATCTACATCTTAAACATCAGGATATGTATTTTCAGAACCCTTAAAAATGCATGTTGGTACAAAAGGCCTGAGTTACGAGGTTTTTTTTATTAAGCTGGGAGAGTTAGTCTTGTCAAGTTAGTTTTGCAAGTATATTCTTGAGTTTCCTGAAAATTTCTGAGCTGTTGATAGTGATTTCCCTCTTTTTCTTTCTTCAGAACCAGCTGTTGTTGCCAAATCATCAATCTTGCTTGATGTGAAACCTTGGGATGATGAGACAGACATGGCCAAATTAGAGGAGTGTGTTCGAAGCATTCAAGCAGATGGCTTGGTCTGGGGGTCTTGTAAGTAAAATTCAAAGTGGGGAAAATAGTGATTGTGTGATCTGTTAGGGTGCTGTATGTCCATCTGTGGTAATGTAGGTAGCTAAAATAGTGAACTAACTGCCATGCTGCACAGAGTTTGTTTAGCATGAGCTGTGTGTGTGGTGCTTGCTGAACTAGCACCCACTAAATAGCAAACTGATGTTTCTCTTTGCATAATCTCACGAGTGATAATTTAAAAGGGGTTAGTCAGAAAGCTGCTAGGGCAGCAGCAAGGTGAAGATTCAAATAAGCACACCTTTCAGATCAACTTGTTGATTAATGCTGTCAGTCACTTACATCTTTGGCTTGAATTTTTAAGCAAGGAGTGTTTAATGCTTTTTTGTTTTGTTTTGCAGCCAAGCTAGTACCAGTTGGCTATGGTATCAAAAAGCTTCAGATTCAATGTGTTGTTGAAGATGATAAAGTTGGAACAGACATGCTGGAAGAAAGAATAACAGCTTTTGAAGATTATGTACAATCAATGGATGTAGCTGCTTTCAACAAGATCTAAGCCTTGATATATCTAGAATAAATATAATTGCAAAAATTGGGCCATGTTTGTCGTTAATTCAAAGTCATAGTGCAATCCAGTTTGTTAATGTAAAATTTGATTGATGGGTAAAGTAGAAGCTAATAAATTGGATTTTAGGATTGTTCCAGCACCACAGTACCTAGTGCCAGAGCAAAGAGAGTTGACAGTTGCCATACGTCTAGGCTTAACATTTACATGGCTTTAAATATCTGAAATGCCCTTTCCTCTATTTTAGGCAGAGTTGCATCTTTGGATACTTGTATTTAATCTGGAAGGAGAGATGGCTTTCAGGGAGAAGCACAGGGCTGTAGCACTTTTTTAAGAGGAATATGAATTTTGTATAGAAAGGGTGGTGAATAACCAAACAGTTGTATAGTGGCCTTTTTCTTTTGAAAGCTACAGTTTAACTGTCAATAAGGGAATGAAGATAAAGATAAGGAAGTTTAAAGCAACGAGGACTGCAGTGCATTGGAGATTGTGGTGAAATGTAGTTTTTATTTTGACTTGAGACTGCCAGGGTAACTTCTCACCATCTCCAGTTGTGTAGATCTGAGGTTTTTTCTCCTGAAGTGTTTAAAAATAAAACATAGAAATAGCCTAAAATCTTGCATTTTTTAGGGGGGCTTAATTAGTACTGTGTAATTCCTGCTTTAAGATCAAGGTTTTGGTGTGCCTTAAACTGCAGGCTAGCATTGGTTTTTAACCTTGAGTAGTAGAATTGTGATCCTTGAGGTGCAATTAATGCGCAGATAACTAGGGGGCAGTGTGTCTCTTCAAGAAGACCGAGGCATTGGCAGTCTAAGGGTGCCAAGGGTTTGTGTGAAGGTTAATGGGGTGCAGTGGTTACATGCTACAGTTAATGCAGGTGGATAATATCTTGTAACTTTGATAAAATACAGCTTACTACAGTGTCACTGTGCCTCTAAAAAATCAGTATCTTAGACTGAATGAGACATTCCTGTTTCAAATGTAACCTGTAATGACAAGATCAATAATAAGTTTGAGATCTTAAATACAGTCATATATAGTAACGTGGAAGGACTGGTGCCTCTTTTTAAAAAGGGCTGCCAGTTACCACTATTCTTAAAGTAACAGTTTTAACAAAAGTGTCAGAAATACTTCCACACAATCTTCAAAAGTACAAACATTAAGAAGCAGTTAAGAGTAGAACCTGCTGCTATTGTTTTGTTTTTTTTCCTCTGCAGTATCTTGTAGCAAAATCAGAGAGATTCCCTTCCTCTGGCTCTTTTTTCATTGTAGAGCTTTGAATGAGCATTCTTCTGTCCAAGCAGTGTAGAAGAGTAATTGGATTTTTTTTTTTTGCTATTCTTTGGAAACAAACCAAGAATGCTGTCTGTTTTGATTAGGTATCTTCCATTGCTCTTGCAGAAATGAGTTGGAGGCATTTAATGTAGCTGATCTTGGTATGAAGGAGGTAGCAATTACCTTGCAAAGTTGTTGGTCCATTTTTTTCAACAGACCAGGACTGATGTTGGCCAGATTCTATACGATCTGGGGGAGGCTTTTGTTTAAGGTGGTGGTTAGATGTTGGCAATATGTTTTTCTTAATCCAGAGAGCTGGTCCAAGCAAAGCATTGTAAAACACTTTCTGATTATGTACACAAGACAAAGCAAATGTAAAATTCTCTTGTTTGAAAATCAAGTTCTTATATATTTGTTCTCATATACCTAATGTGCATGAAAAAAAAACTGAATAAACTTTAATTCCTGTAACATAAAAGGTCAGGGTTTTCTTTCATCTTCCAAAAATGTCAGTAAGGTGCTGTTCTGTGAACAGTCACCATGTATTTGCTGCTGAGAAAAGCAAATGAACACATTCTTCAGAGCCAACAGAGTTTTATTACTCCACTTGGAGTACAGTCAGGAAAGGAGCACTAAAACACATCATTCTTAGAAAGATGTCAAGGAATATGTGAAGAAAAACTGCAAACAGTTGATTTAGGCACACTCAGCTGCATAGTGCCAAAATATTACGGGTGAGTCACTATGTACCAGGCAGTGAATGACTCAAAGGAAAGAATGCTGCTTACCAACTTTCCAGCCCAAAGTTAAATACACTGAAATTCCGTAGGTTCTGCCTCACTAAAACTCTGAGACCAGAGCCCAAAGAAACAGCTACAGACCACAATCAGACAGTTGCTATTTATGCAGCTATCAGTACTGGATGTGCTTATGCATGAATACAGATGCATAGTTTTACATAGAAGGCCTCATTTACAGTATAAATGCAACTTATGTGTTAGCACGTTGATTATTTGAAAGCCAGTTTTACCCTAGATATGTAGGCCAATAACAATAAAAAGCTAGTTCAAGGTTACCTATCTAAAGCTTTATGCTTTTATTCTTCACGGTCTTATCTCATGTAATACTTCTTGATTAAGTGGTACAGCCTCAGAAATTGGTCTGCTCCACTTAGCATGTATGTTTGCATTGGTGTAGGTGTGATTCTACAGCTGGCAACGTGTTGGAGCAGAAAACAGGACAACTGGGTCTACTGCCTATTTCTTATGCGAGTGATCTTTGTATCTTGGCTGTACAGTCTTGACTGCAGCTTGGTAGAGAGGTCTGAATTTGGCTACACGCTTGTGAAAGAATATCGTTGAATTCACTCTACTCCTATTTAGACGTTAGGACAAAATGTTTTCTTGCATCTTAACCTTTGTTTGCAAGACCAGCAGAAAACAGCTAATAATTGTGAAGTTTCTGAAACCTGAAAGTTTAAACACGGAAAAAGAATGTGTGACAAGGGCCTTAAGTCTCAGATTCAGTGGGAAACATTTCCACTAATTCTTTGCATATTTCAAATGAGCCAAAATACTTTCTGAAACACCTGCTTAGTATTTTACAACCAGATGGTATTAAAAGCACAAAAGTAAGTGACAAGAAACCACAGCCCCCTGACTCAGCTCAGTATAAGACAAAACAATGGGAGAAAACATTTTATTTCCATGCATCTTTAGAAGGAAGAGGCAGCAATTCAGTATACTCTGTATTGAGGTCCTTTTCTGATTGCAGAGTGAAGCTACTGACAGCTTCTTTTGGCTGGGATGTAGCTAGGTGGCTCCTACTCTAAATAACAGTGAAATACCTGTGACACTCAAAACCACTGATGTCTGACCATGATCTCTCATATGAGGATGCCTAGATCAAAAGTGTTATCAGTGGCAATCAGAGGAATGTTATGTGCTCTTCTGTGATCAGTGAAGCGTTGTCAACAACAGGGTTACAATAATATTCCTGATAGAAAACCCAGACGACTTTCTATTCGGGCTGTCCATGCTGCAACCACACCACACCCAAATGATGTATCCTTTAAAAACATTTAAAGGAAAGTAGCAAGCACAGTAAAGCCAGCTGTTAATACAAAACTGTATATGCAGAGATGCACATCTCATTGGCAGATGTGAAGCCAACAACACCTCCAAATCTGTCAGCTATTTTATGGATGGATGGTGGAGAACAGTCACTGAGCAGTTTCGCAGTGGTGCACAGGCGCATGAGTGTTGTCTGAGTTCCACAGCTGCTCACTGACGGTTCCTGAGCGGCTCACCTCCCACAGTGCCAATTTTAGCACCTCAGAGACTGTTGTCTTGACCTGAGCCTGAAACTTCTTGCTGATGAGAACATAGAGGATTGGATTGAGACAACTGTTGATGAAAGCAAGGCCCGTGGAGAGGGGAATGCCATCCTGCAATAATTCGTGCAAATTTTCGTCATGGTGAGCAGAGAGCTCCACAATGCTGAATATGTGATATGGTGTCCAGCAAAGAAAAAAAGCTACAACTACAGCAATGATGGTCCAGAAGAGCCTGCTAGAAGTCAACACCGTTCTCTTCTTTACTTTAACGATCAGCAATGAGTAACAAATAACCATGGTCAGTAGAGGAAAGAGGTAACCAAATACAAGCCTCACCCAAATCAGAATGTGATGTCTCAGCAAAATGAGTTCTCTGTCATGCACATGGAAGTTGTTGTAGCAAATGGTGACATTGTTGAGAGCAGTAGCTGTGTCTCTAAAGTATAAGGCAGGGCCGCCAATAATAGCAGCAGACATCCAAATGATCATACTAAGAATGAGGGTGTTCTTTATAGTCCGGTATTTGTAGGAAAAAACTGGGTGCACAAGGCGGATGTAGCGGTCAAGGCTGATGAATGTCAGGAAGAAAACACTGGCAAACATATTCAGTAATGCAATGAATGAGTTCATTTTACAGAGCCACTTCCCAAAAGGCCAGTGAAAGCCCATTGCTACGTATGTGATATAAAGGGGCAGAAAGAGAACAAAAATGAAATCTGCAATGGCCAGATTGAGGAACCAGAGTGTAGACACAGATTTATCCCACTTGAAGCCCATAAACCAGATGACAATGGCATTACCTGGTACTCCAAGAAGAAATGCCACACTGTAAAATGAAAGGGAAATCATATGGGCAATGCTGAAGGTGGACTGGGGTGATTCTTCTTCCTCAGGCAGGTCATAGAAATAAGAGTAGTTCTCAAAATCTTCAAATGACATGTTGCACAGCTGCTTTCTAGGGAAGAAAAGAAATGGAACAATCAAAGGGAAACTGTTTTATTGGGTTGCAGATAGTAACCTCAACTCCTTTGAGTTTAGTTTCATATTATCTATCATTTCCTAGCTGTCAACCTCTATGACAAAGCTTGTGGAGTATTTGGCTGTAGACATTTGAAAAAAAAAAAATTCCAGAGATGTAGTTTAGGAACTATTTTCCTTGCTTTCATTTCTTAGGAGGGCACTGACCACAGCATAACTGGTGGATGATGTTACAAAGTTCTACTGAAGTGTGATTTGTATTCTTTTCTAGTTGGGTTTGGTATTTTACCACTGCAGAGGAAATGCTAAGTCATGGCCTGAAACAGTGATTGAACACCTGGCAGGTAGGCAGGGCCAAGCCACGGGAGCTCAGGTGCATGCAATGAGATTCCCAGATCTCATTTAAGGGTTGGCAGTGGAGGCAAGGGTATCTTGTTGGAGATCCCTGCCTGTGTGATGCCTTCTGAGGGTAAGCAGCTTCTTTTCTTTATTTTTGTGCCCATGGCTGTTATGTTTGAGAAAGCTCTCATTTGTTGCAGCCTAGGACCTTGTTGCTCTGCTGTCATTGCTGTACTTTCCATTAGAGCACAACTGCTCTAATTCTATTTGAGGCAAGTTTTATGGACCATGTCTGTATCAAAAATCAGAGTAGCATTGGGCATCTACAAAGGCAAGGAAGTGTGAGGAAGTCTCCTTTTTTTAAAAAAAAAAAAAAAGTGCATCCTCACACACTTCAAGTCTATATTTTGTTAACTATAAACAGTGACTTTACTAGCAAATGAAAGTTCATAGCTTTATTCCTGTCTATATTTGTCCTTGTATCAAGGGATGCTGATTCTCAGACCACTCAGTGTTAGATTTCCTGGGGTACAACCCAGACAAAATGTAGCAAAGGATGTAGAGAAGGAAATAAAAGGAAAATATCTTAGTGGCAATGTGTGCAACTGGCATATTCTTCTACTAGAGACTGGAAAAACAGGTAATAGAGGGAAGAAAACAAAGTTTCCAGGAGAATAACATACACTGTAAGTGCCACAGCTGTAAATGCATTATGTTTGGTTTGTGGTTTTGTTTACTTGGTTGTTTAGGTTGTCTTTTAAAATAAGTCTCCATTTTCTTCTGTTACAAAAGCTTCTGGAACTTGCAAGTACAATGTGATTTTTTTTTCAAATAGGAATTTTCCTCTAAAGCTGAAGAGGAAGAGTGTAGGAGGGACGGGAGGAGTAAAAAGGAAAACATAAAGCAATAGAAAAATCCAGAAGAAATGCACAGGAAAACATCAAATGACAGTTGAGCAGGAAAAAGCACTTAGAGGTCCTGTATTCATTCCAAAGTACAGAAAAAGAATAGCATAGATGACCCTGGTCTGACGAAAGTATTTTCCCTACTAGAAAAAAATATTCTGCTAATTTCTGTTGTCATCTAAAGCAATGTTTTTTTGGCTGCACTCAGCTGCACTGAGAGCAGGATGTGACCAGCCCATTGGCTGCACCATGGATGAGCTCCTTGGTACATTGGAGTGCTGGTTCTATTCAGAAACTGAGATTCAGCCTGCACTTTTGGAATACAGCTATGCATTCCTGCAATTCCATTAATTTTGGTATGCTAAAAGACAACGGAAGCAGGACATCAGGAGAAAACTGCCTGCAGAAGCACATCTGCAAGTCTGTATTTATATAAGTAACTTTCCTTGCATAAGTGAAGCTGCGTATGTGCACACGCTGGCAGGATTTGAATGATTATTTATGGATGGGACAAGGTTAGAACAACAAAGCTGTGTAACTTCATATCTCTTTTTTTTTTTTAATGTAATAAAAGTCACTAGAGTCTCATCTATCAAGAGGCTATGATAACATTTGCCCCTTGCAATTTGCATCAAGCTAAAGGAATGTTATTTGCTTTGCTGCCCTGATAAAATGATACGTATTGGGCTGTATTCATGTAATTACATGCCCCACGGGGGTAGGCTCTGCATCAAATACTGGTACCACCCATCTGAGTAATTTTTTCAAATAGCATAACATCTGCTGAGAAATGGTATAAACAAGAAGCAGTGCCACTAACATCTGGAACAACCCTACATTTGGATAGTTTCAGAGAATACTGAAATTAACTGGGCTTTAAGTGTCTTGCCTGTACACAGAGTTATACCTTCAAGTTATTTATGCAATTAAATAAATCAGTGTAGTTTTCCAGTATTTTGATGATTAACATCCTGCATTTTAGTCATTAGTAAAGTTTGCATCTAAGTTTCCCAATAGCTAGCACAATACAACACTTGGATTCAAGCATTTTTCTCCCTTTAAGTGTAACCCCAAAACTATCATTTCCTAACTGTGCTAAAAACAATAACAGATGTTTGCCTACTGCCCATCAAAGTTCACTTAATATTCAGAATTTCATGGATGATGTACAGCAGAAAGAAAACAGTTAAATACTGAATACTTACAAGCCTCCACCCAAAGAGCACACATCTAGAATGCAATGTACTTTGAGGAAATATTTTTCCAAGGCTATCTTCTTACTTATCTTTAACTCCCAGTCTTCCAGTATAGTAACTCTTCAGTAGTGGGGTAAAAAAGTGGGAGGAACATTGTTTACCATTGCTCTCAGAGCACAGATGATGAAAGTAGGTTATATGGCTAAGACTTAACAAGATTGCCAGTTCAATTTGCAAAGCCCAGAAGCTGCTGCATCTAACTCCCATATATATGAAGCACTTCTGTAACAAGTGGCATCCATGGCATTAGGTGCTGCTCTGAAAAAGATAAGCAGCAGGGGATTTTCAGTGGAGCTATGCTGTTTTAAAGCAGTAAGGATGCAGATTTTTTTTTCTCCTAGAACAACTGTTAACCATCATTCACAGCAGATATTTCTTTGTGTTACACAGTCCCAAACATATGAGTTTGTTTATTCTTAAACTTTAAGAAGCAGAAACTATCTTGAAGTCCAAGTTCAGATCTCGAAAGTGAAGAAATTAAATTCTATTCCTTATTTTGTTTCTGATTTCCTGCATGATCTTTGCCAGGTGGCCTAACTTCCAAACTGAGAAGACTCTTCCATGAACCTGTCTGCAAAAAGAGGTCCAGTAGGAAAAAGACTTTTTCTTCCATTTGGCGCTCAGGCTTATTGTGAGAGAGAGAGAGACGATGCTGTTCAATGTCTCAGACTCTATTGGTCCAGGGCTTCAAAAATGGGGCCACAGGGAGGACGATATTTTTTAACAAACAGGAAAATGTGGTCAGAGACCTGGCAATAGGACCTGGGGGCAGCTACAGGTTACAGAACAGTGTTGTATTGCATTTGGATGAATATAACCAAGATTAGACTACATCCTGTCTTCTTTCTAAATAATATGCAGTCTGTGTAAAGTGTATGCTTAGCAGTTGTCCTTTTGACTGGTGTCTATTCCTGTTTGCTGAGGTCACAAGCAGCTCTGGAAACTGAGTTTCCTTGATTCAGTGGTTTAATTATGAATATAGTTGTTAAATGTTAAGCAAATAGGTTTCAGAATGTTTGACTAGGAGGCTTCATTTCCTGTTCCCTTCTGTAAAACTGAAATCAATTAAGAAATGACTTCATAGAAGTATCACAGGATGACGCTCAGTGTTAATGCATTTCAGATCCTAGGACAGAAGGTTCAAAGAAACAAAGATTGTTAATAAATGTATTTAAAACATAAAGCCTAAAAGCTGCTGGGAAGAAATTTTACCATGTGTCACATGCAATGCCTTTCTCTGCATTTCAGGGAGGAAATGCAGAATAAGATCTGAATTGACAGATTTACAGTTTTTTTTTTTTATTACAAGTGTCTGAAATTTGTATTCTCTGCAACTGTTATAGTATTCTAGGAAGGTGAGCCATAGTGATAACTCAGACAAATGGCTGAACTGCTCACAACAGAACAACTTTTGTCACAGTAAGAAGGGCCTTACAGTTATGACATGGGACAGGTTCTGTGGACTCTATTCCTGGCTATGCCGCATGCATCCTCTTTGGCCAAGGGAAGTCATTTGACCTCACCCTGCCTCAGTCCTGAGGTCAGTGGAATGGCTTTGGAATGAAATTAGGCTGAGTTTTCAGCCTAAAATAGAAGAAGACAAACAAAACAGTCACTATTTCCTTCTACCTCACTCAGTGCAAGGTCTTCCTAGGAATTCAAAGTTCTCTGAGCAACATGCAAGTTAGGGTCCAATTTAATTGCACTGAACTTATGCCATGTGTTTGGGCTGCAGACCATGCAGTCTCTCCCTCACCTAAAATTTTAGAAATTTACAGATATATCCAAGGGAAGAGCTTATTATAGTCTGTGTCGGTTAGAAATTAACAAATACTTGAATGGCCATCTCTAAATCTATTTGTTCAGTGTGATAAACGGTGCTGAGAGCCTTGAGGCAGGTAAATTGATTTCAGTGGTCTCAATGGCTGGCCCTGGTTTCCTATTAGTTTTCCTGTTTGTACGTGGAGTTGGCTGTCTCAGTAGTTAGTTTCATAGAGGGCATATAATGCAAAACCCCTCCTTTTACTGTCTTCCCTAATAATTCTGAGCATATCATATTCTGCATATGTGATCTATGGCTACAAGGAAGCCTGTTTGATTGATTCACTTCAACATTTGTCATCTGTAAGAATTAGATGTTGGAGAACAGTTAGCTTTTCAAAAGGCCACTCAAAGACTGCTTGTCATGCTGTGTCTTCGCAATTTGTCTGGATACAGAATTAATTTGAAAGAAAAAAATCTGAAAAATCTTCAAGCTTTTGAGATGTCAAACTTTTGAATTTATGTAGCTTCAAATACATAAACATAAAATTCACCTAGTAGTTTATCTGTGAAGTTCAAAATGCAGATGGCTGAGCAAGTTTTTAGAAGATTATAGATAGATATAGATATTTCTGGAAAGAATTTTACAAAGACATAAGTAAAGATCCTAAAGTTAACAGACAATACTGGTGAGATCACAAACTGGCAGCCAACTATGTATATAAGACAACCACTTGCCTCCTTGTGGAAACATTCTTATAGCAAGAAGTGTCTGGTACACCCATGTTACAAGATTAAATTATAGCTATGGTATAACTTAAGATTAAATCTGACCCTGCAGACAAAGCTTATAGGAAACTGGCTGTTTAATCTGGTACACAGAAAAGCAGAATCAAGGCTTGTGTGCATATTTTCTCTTCCACGAAAATGCATAATTGTTCTAATGGTCAGAAGACATACAGTAACAAAGTGACTTTGTATGCTGTTGTGAATTCAACAACTTGAATGGATCATGATAGATATGATATATACTGGAAACATTTTCAAGACACAACACAGAGCTAGATTTGCTCTAGCAGATAAGACAGGAGTGTAAATAATCATTCTCCATTGCGTCTCTCACTGAAACAGTGTTAGAAATGCATATGCAATGTTCTAGCTAGACGTCTTCTAAAACTTATGCCAAAAGCAACTGTCTTTAAGCAAGGCCAAACATGATACTGTTAGTCATAACACACCACTTCATCTGTGGTATTGAAGTCATCTGACCAGATAAGTCTCATAACATTTTGTACTGACGAAGTGAGTCTTGCAGTGAGATTAATTCATAGAACAGACACAGTTAATACTGGTAAAACAATGATTTCAGACACAGACTTCTCCTGCCACAGGAATGTTAAACAACAAATGGAAAACCCAACTCTATATCTAAAAAAAATACTTCTGTAATAGGAAAAATACCTACAGTAACTCTGGTTTGACTACAGCAAATCATCCAGACAACGGCTGCAATTGAGCAGCTTATCATTTTCATGAACAGGTAATTCAAAAGTCTCTAGAACCAGCAACTCCATTGGATAAAACCTGATTTATTTTCACACAGATCCTGTGCACTAAGACTTCCATCTCTAAAGAAAACACAGAAACTTGGGTGTCCTTAGGATATGCACTGGGAGGAGACAACCTTGTAACTGTGCCATCAGCTCTTGCTCTCATTCCCCTCTATTAATACAGCTAAAAGTATAAATAACTCTTTCAGTATTATTTTGTGTGTAAAGGGTGACTGTAATCTCTGCAAGTCTACTGTGTGACCGTAAACATATTAAAAGGTCAAGCAGAGTCAACAAAGTGACAAAAGATTAGATTAACAGTGTATCTCAATATTTAAAATATGGTCTTATATCCTAGATGTCAGAACTGTCTGACTATTTACATAACCAGACATAACAGTTAAGTATTCAGAGGTTGTATTGAAACTGGACTTGCATGGAAAATATCATCAGTTGATTTACAGACAAACAAGAAGCTTGAGAATAAACTACAGGAAGTCTCTGATAAACCAGGTGCTAAACATAGAATCCTTGCCTGGTTCTTCAAACACAGTCTGATCTTCCTCTCTTAAAAATAATGCCATCCTTTCACTCACAACAGAGTGGAGAAACCACAACTTCACCTCTTGGATACCTTCTTCCTAAAATGGGACTCTGCCCTGTGACATGATGCTCACTGCTCTGGTGGGAGTTGGCACCTGCCTGGGCAGCCCTGCAAATTCTGGTTGGTTTTCTGTACTGTGAAAAGGAGCCTGGATCTCTGTCCATGCTTATCTTTATCTGTAAGGTCTGAGTTTTGTATATATTCTATTCTTCAAATGCTGTCATTTCTTTAGTTATGAGCCATCATAGTAACTATGTGTGTAGGATAATGGAGATATCCAGTTTAAAAACTTTGAGGTGTCTCAGCTTAACAGTGACTGGATGTCTATGATAATAGATGTCTACTTCTAATCAAGTATGACTTCTTATCGTTCTCATGCAACAGTTGCAACATAAAAGTTGCATATAACTTTTGCACATCTGTGATGGAAGAACATTGATTGACTTTCATACAATCATTACATGGTCATGCAACTTTGACAGTGTTCCTAAGAGGCTGTTCTACTTCAGCAAAAATAGGCACTAATCACACCTCTTTCCTAACAGGAAGGAGCAAATGAGAGCATAGAATACAGTGAATGCAGATATTTCTTTCAGACTACTGACTGTTGTCTCAGCAGACTGATTAAAATTGATTAAATATATGATAGAAAACAGCCACTATGAAAGTGAGAAAGTTCAACCTCTGTTGCCATACCACCAACATCCACCTCTGATGTTGCGGGCTGACATAATAAAATGAGGCATTACTTTTGGAGCAGCACTTGTAATAGATTCACTGTGTACCACTAGTATTCATACAAAGATATTTATTTATTTACTTTAAGCTTAAGTCTAAAATAAGCATTGCCTGTATTCTTGAAAAACTGGAAGAAAAAAAAAAAACACCCAACAACAAAACAAAACAACCACACCATACTGGTAAAACAATTTCAGGAGGTCTGGATATTTATACATTTCCCTAATAGGGTACAAGAAACACTCCTTGGCAGTGATAAGAATAGATGGCATCTAATTCAGATGTTAAACTAGAAGTTTGGAAATACTGGTTTTACAGGTTTCCTATATTACCTTTGCAAATCACTTTTATGTCATGTGGAAGTAGAGTCACCAGACGTGGCACAACACACTCCAGTAAGAGTTTAAGGCACTGAGAAACATCTTGCTTAGTTTTCTTAAAAGGACAATGGTTCTTAACGATTATGAAACATCTCACTTGAACAATATGGGGCTGAACTCTTTGAAAGATGACCAGAAAGAAGAAATGGGAGTGTTGAAAATGGTATTAATCGATGCTTCAGGGACTTTCTACTCACAGTTTTCTTGCCTCTCTCAACCAGATAGCTTCAAAAGAGATCAAAACTTGCTGTGCCAGGCTCACACTTGCAGAAAGAGGTGAGTATTTTATGTTGGCCCTAGGCTTTGGAGATCAAAGCCTCGCTGCATCTAGGTGTAGTAAGAACATAATAAGAGACAATTCCTGCCTTGTTTATAATCCAAACAGAATAAACAGACACAAGAGAAACAGGGAAAGGATCAGAAGTAACTTGCCTAAAGCCAAACAGTAGATTCAAAGGAAGAGATGAGGTAGAATCCAGACCTTGCCAAAGCAATGAAGAGGCAAATCTTGTGGATAAAGGGAAAAGGTGCTGGTTCTTATATTCTTGAAATATTTATTCTGAGAAGTGTCAGAAAGGGACAGGAAAGATATTAGGGAAGGGAAGAAAGAAATAGAAAAAGTTTCATTTGTCTTCTTCCAAACTAACGATGGGAATACATTGCTCCCTGTCCCCCTGGAAGATCTTTCTGTGATTTCTGTGATGTAATCAAGAATTCTAAAACTGAAATTATAAATGCCATTCATTGCCCATTAGATTGTGCATGTTTTTCTGCTTTCTCTGCATGGGGTGACCTGATTTTTATTTTAAAAAAAAAGGGGGGGGGGGAAACCAGGAAAACTCGATTCAAAAGAAGTAAACAGATAACTAAACATTAGGCTAACCATGGAAAATTTAATTTGTTTGGCTTCCATTCTTATACAAGCATACCTGAGTACTAAATGGCCTAAGGCTATATATGCGTTAAAATGTTATCTACAACTCTTAATGATTTTAGGGTCAGAAAAGCATAAGAATAATGATAGATACTGGAAACTGGATATTCTTTGGGAGCTAAAGTACCTGGCAAAGTCAGGAGTCTGGAGTGCTGGCCTTTGATAGCCTTGAAAACAAACCCGTCTTATAGCAACGGAGTGGTTAATTTGTCATCGGGCCCACCAAAGAAAAGAATACTCTAAAGAAATGTAATGCAGTAAAGCAGTGGGCAGGTGAAGGCAGCAACGAGGCAGCAAAAATTATCTCTGCAAGAGAGCAGTCATAGCCTGGTATGTGCTTTTTTTTTTTTAATCTCACATCTCCAAGATCATGGCATCTGGAACATGCTGCAAATAAGAGCATAGAAGAAAACGCTTTGAGGACAATTTTTCTTTTAGTGTCAGGAGCTTCAAACACACTGTAAAAGTAGCAAAGAGTGTTGGAGCGATGATCCATGCATGATATCTTCCTTTCTAAAACCAAATGTCTCTTGGGTACCGCCCACCCCAGTCTCAGCAGTTCTTTCTGGTAATGTGCCATGAGAAACTGTTCCTCCAACTCAGTTCTCTTCTGCAAAACCAGCAACAATGCAGCTCTGCTCTCTTATGAAACTTCTAGCTTCAGATTGAATGAACATAAATCAAACCATTATTAGAAATAATAAGTGAAAATTAGCCAGACAACCAGCAACTGCATTGAGAGAGACATCACATACATTCCACAAGACAAAATGAGTAGAAAAGCTAGTAACAAAAGCATTCAACAGACTACAGTGTTTTGCAAAACTATCTACTGTTTGGAATAGTGGAATTATTCACATATTCACACACAAAAATATCTAAGAACAGATCACAGACTGAAAAATTCAAATGTGAAGTTATTCAGGAAGAAAGTTTTATCCAGCTAGAATGCAAATGTGTCTTAATTCTTAATGAATCTATGCATTTTTTATAAAGCTACAAAAAGAGTTCTGGTATTTTGTTTGATTTTGCAAGATAGCATTTAAAAAGGCTAGAGGGGAAAATAACATAGCCATCACTGGGGCTGAACAGGAGGTGGAATTCAGTCTTGTTTATTGTATGCTCATGTAGAAAGCTTCGAATCTTGTTTTTTAGGTAATGCTATTCATACACTGAGTGACAGCTAGATTCACATCATTTCCCCTTACTTCATGATAGTAGGGGAAGCGCGCACATTCCAGCTCAGGTCATAAGGAACTCTTTATAATTCTGCATGACTGTAACTGTTCAGAATAATGATGTTTTCATCCTGTTAATAATTACAGGTTTGTCAATTGTTAACAACCAATTTGTTACCTGAAGTTGAAATGATATCCAATTCCTGTTCTGGAATCCAGATTAGAATAATTGTACTTATTTTTCATATTACTGGAATTTGTGATAGCTGTAGGAGATGTACTATCCCTAAGCCTTAAAGCAAACAAATAAAACTAATGCAGGGTGTGGGGAGATATTTCAGTCAAGGTCAGCTGGCATTCTTTGGCTAGCTAAAATACTTCTTGAACAGCCTACAAACACACTTGAAAGTTATTAAAAATTAAATTCACACCTATTTTCATATCCCTTCTTGCCTCAGGGTTGGTTCAAAATAGCCTTTGAAACAAATGAGTATCACATTCTTTATAGTAAGAAACTCTTTTAATCACTATACTGCCTTACAGAATTTGCTTGTGAGTGTTGTTTTGTTTGTAGATACATGTCATTCTGAAGGAAGGGAGAGAAAGATCTAAAACTTAATAGAAAGACTGACCTACCTTCTTAAGTTCTTCAGAAGAAAGCACGCTGTAAGTCAGGGATGTGCTCTCTGTAGCAGAAAGAAGAACGAAGTGATCTGTAGAGTTCAGAGTGACTTCAGTGTGATTCCAGCTGCTTCACTTGGCTACTGCCTTTCTCTTAATAAAGCTGCAGAATGATATAACACTGTGTTTGTTTTCAGCTGTGAGGAAGTTGTTTCCAACTTCCCTTGGTTAGCTAAACCCAGTTTTGAAATATTGCCCTTCTGTTTAATCCCAGTATTTCACGAAAATAAATGTTAGACATGTGAATGAATCATTCTGGCCAGTGTCCAAGCAAGCAACAGATGTGGTGGCTGATGAATGGAAATGGACTTTACAGTTGCAGGCTGCTTTTTGTTATGTAGAGAAGGATTTCAACAGTACTACTTTGTTTCTGACCATTCTGGTTTATAGAAAATAATGTTGAATGAGCAGAAAGATGCTTAAGAAGCTACACTGAAAGCATCGTTTGTTAACTGTATGGTGAGATACCTTCAGTTTGCATTTATGATTATTAATCTTTTGTATGCAAGAGAAAAGTGAACTTGTCAAAGTATGAGTTACTAGTCCTCTTGCCCACCAGTCAGTGTAATTCTGTGGCCAGACATTTGAACTGGGCTTTAGGAGACTTGGCTTGAATCCCAGTTCTGTCAAGAGGCTACTGAGTGTTTGTGGTCAGGCCTCATGCTCTCCATATACCTTAGCCTCTCAGCCAGTAAAATGGGAATATTATTCTCCTGGTACCTTCATACCATAGCTTCACCTGACTTTGATGGTACTGCATTCATCATACCATTTTAAATCAGCTGTGGGTCTGTCAGCCTACCCTTACCAAAAACCAAATGTTTTAGATGAAGGAATAATCTTAACAGCTGTACTCATCTGTGACTAATGCAAGACACCTAAAATGTTCAGCTGATTGAATTCAGTCAATTGCAAATCTTGCAGATATCAACTCTACCGATTCCAGTAAAAATAAAAAATAAAAAAATAAAACAAAAAGAGGGAATTACCTAGTGAGACTGTGCAACACTGAAATTTCAGTCAATAAGACTATCAATTTTAGGCACTACTGTTATGGCTCACAAGTTATAGAATCTATCAGGAGCCAGAAACTCCTTCCAGCAAAATAACCAGCTTTGTCTTCCACGTCAGCTCTTCTCATTCTGCCAATATAACATAAAATGCTGATAGCTTGTATGAAGAGGAAAAAGCTATGAATGAAAGAAGGATGGAGATTATGTTACAGCAGGACACAGAGCCTGTACCTGGAGAAAATGGTGGTGGTGGGACATAACACCTGCAAATGTGTAACATAGAAACAGATAGTTGGGTTACCTGAAGAGAGCAGGAAGATTTCAGAAGACCTCATGATTTGGCAACTCATTTGCGTATTTCTTGATGTTTAAATTTCTTAATTCTTCTAGGTAACTGATAGGTGAATCTTAGCTGATAAAAAGCTCTTATAATAGCAGTTCTTTTGTAAATATTGGGATAGGGTGAATACAGGTACCATTTAACTGCAGATCTGCGGAGTATTTTGCTCGTAATAATACATGAGTCTATCTCTGCAGGTACTTTTGTCAGATCCAGTTATTATGAGGCAGTTAATTCATAGGATTGCAAAGCACTATTTGAGTAAGACAAGAGAGAAAATTGCTGGGTAGAAATGCCCACACATGATCTGCACTAAAAGACAAACCTCAGCAAGCAAAGTAGAATTACATACATGTCAATTGCTCTTCACCTTCTTGGTGCAGGGAGGATTCTGATGAATGCAATGGTTTCTATTAGTTTGAGATGGTGAACAGTTGTCTGTAAGAGGCTGTTTCCTTCACCATAAACTTAAGCTGACGGGGACTGCTCTAATGTGTACTGAGTAGATAGTTCAACTCCTTCATCCTTCTGAAGCATGAGAGGATTAAAATTCACACAGAAATTTTCTTCACTCTGTTTGTCATAGTGGAAAACATGAAGTCACAGCTGCAAAGAATCCAGAAGAAATTTTATGGAGACAATTTCTCATGGAAAAGGAGGGCTTTTTTTCCTCCCTAGGAAGAGCAAGTCACAGCATTTCAAAGACATTCTTTTCTGCCAGAATCCTCTACCTACTTCTTCTTCTTTTAAATTGAAAAGGACTTTTGCACTGATGAACAATTACCAAACTTGCACTGTATGACCTGCACATGCAATGCATCTGTGAGCAAAAAAATAAAGAATAGGATTTTGAAGACAAACTTCCATTTAATCTGAAAAGATTTTGTTTGTTTTCTGTTCAGAGCTAAATATATCACTTCATTCTTCTACAGTTTTGATCAACCACAAAGGGAATCTTACATCCCTGAGGAATGTAAGCTTGGTTCCTACATCTTCCTATGTTTTAATTCCTTCTGTGCTCAGAGTAAAAACTGGAATGGTGAGTCCAACATTTTTGCATATACAACACATTAGCCATTGATATAGTTTCACCAGTGTGACCTTTTCAGATAATTTTTGAATGTTGTATGCTTGGAAGAAAGTAAATGAAAGAAATTACCCCTTGTTTGCATTCTTTTCCAACATAGAAGTTGTTTCTATTTCATTGTGTCAGTTTTGCCTTTTAAACAGGGTAAGTTAATGAAGTTCTGGAGTTTTTATTCTACATTTGGGTAAGCATAGGACTTCATGAAGGACTTGCAGAGCATAGAACCAGTAATTTACATCTGATAAAAAAGAATAAGGGGGAACATTTTCATACAAGTTACAGATTTGGAGTTGAACAGCTGTGAATAAACTAGGTCCACTGAAAAGCAAATGCATTTTAAAACACTTCAGAATTTTTCTTTTCTCTAAAAACAGACAAAAAAAATCAATCTATAGAACAAAAACAGCGTATATGGAAGAAAAAAAAATGCAGAGAAGCCTTCGAAAGTATTCACCAGTATTCACCAAAGTACAAATTGCAAACTGACTAACGAAACCAAAACAGCTTTAATTTACCAGGTTTACAAATAACTGCCTGATAATTGTGACTACTTTTACATTGTGACTACTATTACTTCCCACCCATAGGACCACTGGTTATCAAGCTGTATATTAATAGATAATCTCAGCACTGAAGAACACATCAGACTAAATCCAAAGTGTATAAAATCAGTTGCGTTAATTTGTAAATTCAGTCAAACAGAAGATATTTGTTTTTCCCAGAGTTAATTTAAGCCGAACAACACAAGAAATAAGCTACTTACTTTCTGAGGATTCAGATGTTTAGAGTTCAGTTTGTTTCATTTTTAATTATTCACTATTCCTTTGTGCTCATTGTTTGAATTAACACCTCACCAATAAAAATCCACTCTGGAAAGACTGAAATTAACCACCTGACAATCAGGAAAAGAGTAATTTCCTTCCTTTCCATTTCCTGAAACTAATGACTATTCATGCCTATCCTTTCGGTGAAGCTGCAGTGTTTGCTTGTGGCTTAACTGCCCACTATATACCATAGTCAGCAACTACAACAACATTCTCCAGCTTTTAGACCAAACAACCTGATGAAGGGACGTCTGGCTTTTAGCAAATCCACATCCTCTTTATATGCAGATATTAGAATTCTGAAGACTTTCATGTATGAAGTGTTGGAAAAAAATCAACAACATGCAAAAAACCACACAAGCATAGATATGAATGACTATGTACGTATATATATGTATATGCATACAAATTTGAACAAGATCTTTAAAAGCAGCACTTTATGCAACTCCTGCAAACAAAACAAACAAAGATTTATGATGAATATTGGACACTCATTTACAAGGAAGTGAAAGAAAAGCACAGAGAGGAACCTGAGCCATACTTTTTCAGGATTTTAGCTACCTCCATCCACTTGGGTCCAAGCCACCAGTATGGATGCCTATACCTACTCTTTCAAATTAGTCTTTCTTTTCTATTTAAAGTCTAAGTTCTGAGAGTTCAGTCATCCATCTTTTATACGCCAGCCCTTTGATTAAGCTCCCAAATCCTCAGTTCTGCTGGGATTATGTCCTGGTGTTGCACACAACAGACATAACTCTGACCCAGGAGGTCATTTAAGTTTCATCTTCTGCAATCACCCATAACAATTCACAACTAAATTGTTAAAGTTTGTCACGATTAACAATGCAGAAAGCAAGCAGGATCATAAAGAGGAGAGGATGGGTGCCAGTTCCTCATTAGCCTGCCACTAGGCTATTTCTCTCAGCTACTGCAATAGATGTGACAGAGCTGCTCTGAAACACAAGCAAACTGCAATTGGTAATTAAAAAGGAGTTCTCATCACATACAGAATACAGAGAGCAAAGCTGAGGTTTGATAGAAAATTAAAGACAGCTCCCCGAAAATAGAACAGGCAAGGTGCCTATACAGGACATACAGGTTATCAAACAAGGTTACTGCTTTGTGGCATTACTCCTCAAAATCTTAACAAAGAGAAATATGTAGGCACGTGTGGAACAGTGAAGCCTGCTGGTTACTCTCTACAGCTGAAGACATTCCTTAGGATTTATGGACATGCAAAGGCTTTAAACTGGACAGTAGCACATAAATGGAGAATGGATCCTGAACACCAGTGCAAAGCCATGGCAAATGAAGTCCAAACCAAGCCCCCCAAAAGCCTAATCAGCTGTGGATCTTCTCAGATGCTGCTGTCAGTGTATTCAGCACATACACATTTGGATATTTAAAGTTGCTTTTTCCATTTGTCAGATTGTTTTTCTGCTTGTTGGATGTAAATACTTTTTGTGAAGGGTGCCAGATGCCCTTGACTTCATGGGTATCAAAGTTATTTTTCCACAGCAATGAATGTGAGACTTAAGAGAAGGACTGTAAGCTCCTGGTTGCTGTTTCGGATTTGCCCCCTCCGCTGATTGCTGTCAAAGGAGGGAGCATAACTTTGCTTCTAAAGCCTACCCAGCTCTCCGCCTCTCTAATGAAAAGGAAGCTGAGAAACCCGAGCTTGATACAAAATGGCAAAGCTGTTACTGGTTGAATGCTGTGCTTTCAGAACATTTCCATGCTGTGTATCACCTATCTCTCAAGTTTCCAGGAAAAGCATACTGGTGGTACGGCAGCGGTGGTTGAATCTTCCCACCAGCGCTCTGTTCCATTTTGTTGCAATGTGACAGATGGCAGCAGAGGGGCAGTCTGACAAAATGGCATCTGACATGGAAGTGCAGATGAAGCAAAGGGGTGGAATTGAATTGTTCCACACAGAAAAAAAATGGCACCTATTGACATTCATCGGTGGTTGCTGAATGTTTCTGGAGACCAAAGAGTGGATTGTGAGCAGGGCGAGGGCTGGGTGGTGCATTTCAGCAGTGGTGAGAACAATGCAGAAGACAAGCTATGATCCAGTCAGCGATGCAAGTTTTTACAAGCACAGCATGCAGCCTCTTTGTCATCACTGAGAAAAATGCATAGGTAATGGCGGTGACTATGTTTTGTACGTGAGAATTTGCTCTGCCAAATAGTGTTATTCTGCTCACTGTGTCTTTTGTATTTTCCGAAGAAATAAATAGGAGTGACTTTTGGGGTGATCCACTTTCCATTTCTGTTACCCTTGTAGAGAGGGAAACTCCCTCTCTGCCACTTTACAGGGAACTGCCACTTCTCCATTTCAAGATGAGAATTGAGGCAAAGGGGCATCACACCTCATATCCAAAGCAGAAACGGATTCCCTGTTACTTCTGTATTACACACATGGACCATCCACCAACATGTAAGAGACCTCTGGTTTTACTGATGGACCAGAAAACAAAGATGCTAAACTCTGATCCAGAGAGCTACTACAGTTACAGTAATAGCACACCAAATGCTGAACGCCACTTAAATAAAAGTTTTTTTGTTCTTTTACTTACTCCATTTTCTGAATTTTCCATGAAATTGACTCCATATTTTCCAACTGGAAGAGAAAGAGGTTTCTTTCAAAGGCTGATGTTGTTGCTTATCAGCTTTGCTAGACTAAAAGCAAGTTTTGTCCCTGGAGAAAAACAGAGCTTCTCTATTCCACACTATTTAACTTCCTGCTTTTTTTTTTTTTTTTTTTTTTTTTTCTTCTCCTGAATAGCATAAAGAAATCTTTCTTTAAATGATTCCCAAAGTAAAACAACGTAGCGACTGCTTGCTCTCCGATGTAAGAAAATATTTTACGTGGTTTATTGTGGGAACATTAAAAAAATTAAATATAATTTAGAACAGCCAATGTGGAAGAAAAGAGCATTTATTTAACTACGTTGGGAATACATTTTGACCCCACCTTAAACTGCCTGCAGAACATCAACTGATTCAAATAATAGCATATATATTCGCAGCTCCCCAGCTCCTAAAATTACACTGCAGACAAAGAAGCTGCTGAGGTATTTTACACTCAGGGTCATCTTACATTCACACACATCTATTTAAAACTGGATCTGTTCAATTGAAATTTATATATATAAACATTTAATTTAGATATTCAAAGGGGTCAAGGTAGGTAGATAACTTTTGGGAGCCTTAACACTGAGCAGCTCTTAAAGAACAGAATACATCTCCAATAAGCTTTGAGAAAATTAGCTCTACTGGAAATACATTATTCCCTGCCTGAATAATAGGGATAAATATTTACTTTCATGAAAAAATCTCAGAGTTCCTATTATGATGGAAAGGGGGGTGAGCTAGAAGGGAATAACTGCCACTTACAATTCCTATTTAAAATACTTCAAGGCTCACATTAGCTTCTCATATAAAACCCGTGTTAATTTTGTGACATATCTATATCATGAAAGAGAAGGATAGTTTAAAATCTGCCAATCAAATCACTGTGCCATGCAGATGAGAATAATGCTGTTCTAAGTGTGTTTCACTCCTGCTATCTGTTCACTCCTATTATCTTGGTTAATACTAGAACCTACTGTTCTTTCCATTTCCTTCATAGGTGGAGGATCTCAGGTCACAGAACTCCTTTCAGCACAAGCAAATGGAGTCATTTTACTACTTTCTACTGCATTTGCTGGCACGTTCATTTCAGAAACTATTGTATATTTCAGAGTGATTTGGTAATGAACACCTACACTTGAAAATGTCAGTTCTCAAGGGCTGATCTGATTATATCAAACAGGCAAGTTAAAATGGTGCTATTTTTGAAAAGAAATATAAAACGAATGGGAAATAGAATTAAGAAATGTTAAGGGACTGTTATTTCTGAAGTTAAAAATAAATCCATGCACAAGCTGAAGTTGAAAGAATATCCTGCAATTCATGACCAGTCATGACAAGCAACCCCCAGCCTACTTCCTGACCTAGTCCTGTTCTTTGTGTCACGTTTCTGAAAACACAGACACTGTTATTTCAGAGAGATGAACTCACTGAACAGTTATTAGCAGAGAGTAGAAATAACTGTGAATGCAACACTAAACTATTTAGCACTTTATGATTAAAGATGCTTTCTCTGAAAGCAAACATTATTTCGAATTTCAAATGGGAAAAGGATCCAGAGGCATTTCCCCTTTACTTTGAAAAGTCAAGCAGATTTTATTTTGCTCCACAAGAGGGCTGTGTGGACACCAAGACATTTTCCCTATGCAGTCTTCAGCAGCACGGTTAGGCTCAGTCCAGTAAGAAAGCATTTGATGCAGTGCTAGATCAACACATACAAACCACTCAACTGCTGTTTTCTTTGCAGAAAGTCTGTTCATAATTTCTGTTTTAGGACAAAGTGTCTCAAAAACATGTTAATTTAAGCTACTGGAAAGATTGAGAACAGTTGAGCAGTACTAGGGTAGGGATTTAAAGGGTAAACAAGAACAGAAGTAGCCCATCATGCAGAAACTTTCTGGAAGCACTGAATTCTGATACATTTTGTACATTTTCAGTGTTTAAGTGACACATTTTGAGTTGTCTCATCAGCCCTTCCTTCTGGATGACTTGCCAACAAATGAACAGCAACAGCAGCTGTACCAGCAACAACAACAGGCTCTGAAATGAGCATGAATGTCACTGAATTTTGCTCAGCATTATCATAATAAAAATTTTTCTATTCTCTAACATACATGTGTACAAAAATCTATTATCCAGAGCAGTTACAGCAATAAATAGATAAATAAATAATTGGGTGGAGGGTGTTAATATTATCCTTTAACACATAAGTTTTTTGGTTGTTTTTTAAACTCTGAAAACACTATTACTGGGTATAATTGCAGTGATCATACAGGGGAAAAAATACCAAAGAACATCAATCATTCCTCCAGTTAATCTGGTGCCTCATAACAGTGGCCCCCACAAGATTCTTGAAAAATACCAACATTCCTTCAAGAGAATTCTACACTTCTTCATAATTAAAGCTTTTAATATAATACCACGTATCATGGAACTCTCATTCATCTACAAAGTTGAAGAGATCCACCCTTCCCAAGTTCACTCAGAACTGAAGTGCTCCAAAATCTTCACACATGCTTTGGACTGTTTTGAAATTTGCTGTCCTTGTAGTCCAGGCTAGGTCTTGCTATCCACCTTTGTGGCCATTTGGCTACAGTACTCTCTGCGCGCCTCAAAGCCCAGCCCTCAGCGGACTCATTCAACACTTAGCTCAGACCCTTAAACAATTTTACCAAAACAGCAATTCAATGAGAATATAGGCATTTAAAATTTAAATGGAAAGCACGCATGCAACAAACTGAAATTCTGAGCAACTTTCCTCCCAGGTAGTTTTATCAACCTTGATTTTCATTTGTTACTCTTTCTCTACAACCTTAAGCCAACTATTGGAAAAATTTTGACTCTTTTAAGAAAAATATATACTGTTTACATTTGTCAGAGATATTTTTTTCTTAATATTCTTCTATATAGCTATAGAAGACATGGATTTGGCTAACAGGAGCAGAAAAGCATATCAAATTGAAGTAAAAGTAGGAAGCAAAACAGCACAAGTTGAATGAGACAGTATATGGAAACAGTTGGCACAGATATCATCTGTGGGGAAAAACCTGTTGGATGCTCATATCAGAAGAGAGGAATTTTTAAAAGAGGGAAGGAAGTTTCTCAGCCTTGACTGATCATTCATGCACATACGTATTAGGTTAGTGGCTAGGGTTAAGAGGAGACTAGAGGGAAGGGATCTCTGTCAGAACCTTACCTGAGCTTGAATCAAAATGTAACCTCAAGATTGTAAATACAGAAAGAGCTGGAAGCCATGAAATACCTGACAACACATACCTGAATTCTGCTACCTTTGATTGATAATCCAAAAGATAGAAAAATCCTTTCTGTCTTCACAAAAAAATATTCAGGAATATTCCAAGGACAAGCTAGATGACATTGTAAGATGGATTCTGCGGTGTTCTTTGCTAAGGATTTCTGTTTTACATGAGCTATTCTGGAACTGAAATGTCAGTACTTGAGCTACACCGAAACCTCAGATATGTAACCCAGCTTACTTTGTTCCAACAAGTTACACAGGGTTGGTAATCCACAGTAACTCACTAAGCTTGCTGTGAACCCATCATAAAGGTAAACTATTTTGGCATGAGATAGCATTTCAAAGTGTTTGCCACAGATGGAGTATACACCTTTAAACAATTCAGCTCTGCCCACATGAAATAATTTGGCCATGAGCCTGAGCTTTCACACGTGTAAATGTTCTCCAAAGACATGCTGCATCTGCAAGATTCAATGACTGCTTCTCACATATCTCCATTGCTACCCATAGGATGCACTCTAAAACTAGGTTTTCCCTTGTCCATCACTGAAATCAAGAATCATTTCCATGTTACTGAAGTGACTGATTCTCTCCACATGTTTGTATTGCAAACCCATACCTTCTGACCAGTCCATCTTATTCAGTTATCCCAACAAAATAAACATAACTACAATTGCACTGATTTGTGGATCTTGTCAGCCTTGAGAAGCACAGCCCCCACGCAGTACACAGCTAAATGCCGTATTCGCCCTTCTTATTTCATCAGCAAAGAGTTTTGCCAAGTTCTGTATTAAACCAGGCAACAAAATGTCACTGGGCAACTTAAGTTCTGCATAAGCTACTTATCCGTTGGCAATGAAAACGTATCTGTATTGAAGCAAAAGGAGCCAAAGAATCCAACAGCAATTTGAGTAATTTCCCTCCCAAAGCAAAGCCTTCTCCTGCTGCTCTGCACAGTTTATCAGCGACTTTCTGTGCTCAATTACACATTCATTGTGGGCGGACGTTTCCAAGACACGGTTTTATAATCACACGACAGCAGCCCCTTTTTGCAGCAACCTCACTTTAAATTTTCCAGCCATTCCCCCCGCTGCACAAGTCACGGCTGGTGTCTGCACCTGTCTTTGCACGTCAGCGCCGGTCACCTTTGCCTCTGCCCCGGCTGCTTAAAACACGCTGCTGCCAGCAACCGCAACACGAGGGAAACACGCAATCTCTGCTTTCCCACGGCAGATTAGATCTAAAGCGTTAAAAACCTACAATTGAAAGCTAAAGGGGACTTGAACTACGCCCCGTTCTTAACCTCAATTGTGAGAAAACTGAAAGCTTTTTTATTTCCCCGGGACGCGACCAAATCCAGCCCCACACCAGACTTCCAGCCGCCGCCGTACCGAGGAGCTCCGGCGCCCGCCGCCCGAAGGGAGGAGCGCAACGCCCGCCGCCCCGCCCACAGCGCGGCCCTCCAAACCGCCCTCCGCCGCGCCCCCCGCCCACAGCGCCGCCCCGGAGCAGGAAGCCGGGATGGCGTCCCGTGACCCCGGCGTGGCACGGAAGGACTTACTGGGAAGGGACGGAGGTGAGGCGGTGCCGGGGAGCGAGTCGGGCGGCGCGCGGCAGCGGCGGGAAGGCGCTCCGCGGGGCGGGGGGCGGGCGGTCGAGGCGAGCGAGCGCGCGCGGAGACGGGCGGGGTCCGCGCGCTGCTCAGCGGACCTGCGCGCGCGCGCTCACGGGCATGGCGCCGGCAGCGCCCCCTCAGCCGCCGCCTCGCCCCGCAGCCCGGCATTGCGGCGGGAGGGCTCGGCCGTGCCTGCTGGAGCCCTCCGGGCACCGCGGCCCTGCACGGCCCTCAGAGCTGCCCGCGGCCCCGCCCCGAGGGCCGTCGTTTTTGCTCTTTTCTCGTGGACCTGTTGCAGTACGAGAGCGGCACTAGAGTTTCTCCGGTGCTTTTGTTTTTCGTTTTTCCCGGTGGTAGAATGTCTAAACTAATGCGAACGCGGATGCGATTTACTTTTTAATCCGGCAGCTTAAGATATTTACAGTCAGAAGAAGCCTAACAGAGCTGGAACTGTCCGTGCGAATCTGAGAAATCCTGTGTGGGTTTTCAGAGCTGATAAAGTGAGAGCGCAGCTGGGCGTGCCTGATTTTGGATGTGCTTCGTGCCCGACCTCGGGTAGCAAATGACTGTATAGCTGCAGATCGGCTTTTTACTTCATCCTGTACGCTCATCTGCTCGCGGAACGCTGAGCCGAGGCAGTTTGTTTCTCCTCTCCGTCAGCTGCTGAAGTATCCCTGCAGGTTCTCCTCAGACATGTGCCTCTGTTACTGGCAGCATGTGCACGTACAGCTCTGACGTTGTGTGCCCGTCCTCTGTGAGGAAATCTGGTCCGTTCAATCTAAACAGTAGGAACTTGCTGAGGAGATGCAGACTAGACTCCATTCTTTTAACAGTTGTGCAGTTTTAAGTTACACCACCTGTGACTCAGTTTAATGTGCGAGTAAAGCCTCAGTACAGCACAGTCACTGAAATTACTCCTTGAAATAAAAGTGATGAACCCCTGTAGTGGTTACCCATCCATGTACTCCAGTTGCTTCTGTCTGGCATTTCTGAGTTGAAATGAGACCCTTTAAGTTATGGTACTGTCATCCAGGTTGGAGGCAGGATAATTGTTTGTAGTGCCCCTGCTGACTCTGTGGGAGGGTCCCACTTTCCTGTTTCTAAGTCCTGAGTTTTAAGAGTAGGGAGATGCTAGTGACAGGGATTGTGGAAATTCTTGAAGTATTTCTCTTTTTCTATGTCTGTAGTAAGGAAATTGTAATACTTCATTGCGTATGTAATGGTGAGTTCATAAAAAGCTGTGAATATCTAGCATCTTGTGAAAGTTTCAGTTAATGTTTTATTGCAGTGTCTGGTGAGTTTGCATAAATAAAGGAAAGTGTTTTTCCTGAGTAGGTTGATGAGTAAAACTCAGTTTGGTTAATATAGAGGTTTGGCTGTTTGGTTTTTTCTTCTATTATTTTAGAAGCATATTTCATTTCCTGAATAACAGCCTCAGCAGAATTTAATTTGTAGAGAGTACATGGAAGAAAGAAGGAACAAAGTTATTCTGGTAGGAACAGTTAACGTTTAGGAGGAAACATACTGCAGTAATGAAAAAATAGATGTACTGCAGACATCAAAAATAGGTTTATTCGTTTTATTGTCTGACCTGTTCGCAAAGAATTACAGAAAATTTTGCATGCCTAAGGGCAAGGAAAACATGTTATTAGCTCTAGTTTAAAAGCCACTTTAATTTTTTGACAGATGGGATGAGAAGAGACAAGTGTCCTGCTCTGCAAATGGCCTCCTGTTTGACATTTGTTGTTTGCTAGCCTGGAATCGTCTTTGATGGTGGAAGGCTGGCGACACTAAGGTTTGTACCAGAAAGTTTGACTTTATTTTCGTACTGTGTAACATAAAAGGATTGTGTTAGAAGTTGTTTATGTTTGGACATCCTAAAGCATGTTATTGCAGTTATATTTCAGTTAAAAATTATGGGTTCCAATACTGGTTTGCTGGTCTTCTGAACAATAAGTATTTCTTTCCCAGCGTGGATGATTATTTTGTTTGGTTTAGTATATTTTTTATTAGAGTATGTCTCTCATATTCTTTGCAAAGATAACTTAGGAAATTAAGCAATTAAATGAATTTGATACAATTGTTGCTTAAAAACCTAACACAGTCTAAGCTGTATTCGTAAAGATAGCACTTAGTTTCATTAATTACACCAGAAATTGTCCCATTCCTGTCAAAGGAAGTGTGCATTGTTAAATGTAATATTGCGGTAACCTAGTAAAGCACAAGTTGCTTTTTATGATGCAGGTTAATTTAAATCAAGTCATGGTCTACAGCTGAAACTACATAGTACATCCAAACAGCTTGGACTGAATGATGGACTAGAAGATGGGTCTAGGTTTGTTTATTTTTCTGCTATTTTAATTCTCAATTATTTCATTTTTTATTTACAGATGTTTGATAGAATCAAACCATCTGATGAGGCTTCTGCTTCTTCAGCACAAGGTGAGACGTTTAAAGTAGATGGTTTTTAGTGCAGTTTTTTTTTGTTAACATAATAACCATCAGTACAGACATCAGTTCACCTTATAGTTTCAGTTGTTTCATTTGATTTCCTAAATTTCAGTATGTAAGGGAACTAACTGACCGCAGGTGAAAACTTTTTTTTTTTTTTAATAGGAATGGAAAGACATGGTGTTGAAGGCTCATTGCAACAGTACAGCAATAGCAGGTAAGTAAAACAATAATCTAACTGACATCCAGATTACTGCTTACACAAAGTAAAACAAGAATAATCTGTTTTTCAACCTTGTATGTCATCTTGTGTAATGCTTGATAGTGATGCAACGTAGATAAGTGTATGATGGAGATTATCTATATTTACACATATTATAAACTGTGGAGGAAGGGCACTGTAGTGCCCAAAACCAATTATGTGGGTGTCAGAATTTCTTAGTTTTCAGTTTATTTGTTTTTTATTTCAGAAGGCTAAAAATAGAATAATAAAGGATGACTATCTTCTTCTGGACTGATAGATCTCTTCAGACTATAATTATGTCAAATCAGAATCTGTGCTAGTTGTGCCTTCAATTTGTTATCTGTTGTCCTGCATTTAAGAAAAAGGTTTTTTGGGAATAGTATTTGCCATTGTAATTCTGAAACAGAAATGTTAATTTTGTAATAGCAAGGTGGGTATTCTGTGTGTCTATGTTAAGAATATAATTGACAAGCCAACATTTCTCATTTTCTTTATGAAATGGCTTGGTAATATTACCTGCTTCTTTCAGTTTACATTCAAGAAGGCAAGAACGTCCTCGGCCTGGAGTATCCACCATGCAAAATAGACAAGGCTACTGCAACTGCTGTCATGTACACTACAATAATCTGGAACAGGTAAGAAGGCTACTGCATAATTCGGCAGCAGATAACAAGAAGTACCAGTAGGCTTTCCCAACTTACAGAATATCATTTTCTGCACTGAATGACCAACTCTGAATGGAAATAAATCAATCTGTGAGTTCTACTACTTCTTTGTGCATAGAAAGAAGAGGAAATCCTTCTTACCTGTTATAAAGAAGGTGGTTACTGCAGTCTGCCTTTCTGAAGTGTCACCCTACTATGCTTTACACTCATTAGGTTTATTTCTGCAGCTTTAACCTTGAGAACTAGATATACTGTTAAATATTAGAGTTAATATGTTAGATATCATTGCTGAGCACTTTTGATCGACTATTAACTTGTCTGTTCTTAATTCTGTTGGTTTCTTGTCTTCTAGACTTTTTTTTAACTAAAGAGTAGAAACCTATTTAATCTTCTGTGCTTATGAAAATTCTCCTTAGTTTGAGTAAATTATGAGGTGTTTGCTCAAATGAAGTTCAAAAATATTCTTAATCATGATGTATAAATCATTTACAGTATTTGTTCCTGTCACAAGAGATTTGTGAGCAGCAGAGTGGCTGATTTAGGCTCAATTCAGAAGAGATTTCAACACAGTTCAGTATTATTTGTGTTTCCCTATGCATATTTAAAAATTTCATTGAATCCCAGCCTTAAAGTAGAAAAGGCTGAAGATTTTTCTTTTTCCTGAAACATTTTTGTTGTGACAGTAATGTTTTACCTGGGAAGTAATTCTTCTGAATACATCAGTATGCTAACAGTAATATTAAACTAGTTATGTGTTTTGTCTTTCTTCAGCATATTTTTAGCTCCCAGCACAGACATTTTACCACTTACTGCAGGAATCGTATGGGTACCAGTAGCTTGATGGAGCGTTTCCTGCAAGATGTTTTGCAGCATCATCCCCACAGATACCATGACAACAGGTATAATAACGTTTGTTTGCTTTTTAAATATTTGCTCGTAGTCTGCATGTATTGTGAGGTTTTTATACTGTTCTATCACCAAACAGTACATTTTGCCCATTTGAGGTTAAACGTTTATATCAAACAGAATTTAGAAACAAGTGTATTTATATAACCTTTGCCCAAGTATATTCCTTTTGTGTTGTCTCTGTGCTTTCAAACTTTGTTTCACTGCTTGTGAATTTGATACAGCAAGACTGACAACAATTGCATGTAAAGACCTAACAAAAAGTAGTAATATATTGGCCAGATAGTATATTAGCAGAGTGTACAATTGACATACATTTACAAATTCTTACAATAGAGGCATTCTGGGCTTAATGTTAATCTATTTTGCACTCTATTTTATGGTATGTATTGAAGTGGTTCATAATTTTGGCTTGTGGTATGTGATAGTGGTTTGTGGATTATGTCAGGTGAGTGTTTATATGTTTATTATGTTTATTTTTTCACTATCCTTACAGTTTACACATTGAGTTACTATTTGTGGAAATTGCATTAATTGGCCGATTTGTTAATGCTCAGATTTAAAAAAGTGTTCCTTTTATTTATCACGTGCATGTTTTAGCATGATAAGAGGGAGTATAAACATCTTTCTGTAGGAAGGTCAGCTGAAAGGATATTAGTTAAGTCTCATTCCTTGTTACAGTCTGCAAGGCATTAAAAAATCCTGGTCTGAACTGAGTGTATCTTGATAAATAACTTTTTTTTTTCAGTATTCTTTCTATATTTCTAATAGAGAAAATATTGTCTATGTTTTAAGCCAACATCCAAATGAAAAAAGGCAAATATCTCTTGAGGTATTGCTAGTACAAGATTATTTCATTCAGTGAATAATACCTACTAATTAGGAAAACCAAGTTATCCATGTTCCTTTAAGTTATTGGAAGAAGGAGCAGAATAAGAAAAATAATGCACAAAATCTAGGTAAGGTTGGATGGTCAGTGTGAGAGGAATAATCCAATATACATACAGAGTTTGGAAGAAGAAAACTGAAGATGGAAGAGCGTGAATAGATTTTTGTTGTGATTCTGCTCTGAAAAATGACTGAGTCAAAGTATTAGGTTTTTAACTAATGTCTAAAATAAGAATTGAATCACTTGGATTGATAAACAGTTTCCCTCAGTTACTGAATACCCATACAAATCATACAGTAGGTGAATTCGCACAAAGGATCTTAAGATTATCATTTAAAAGAATTACAAAAAAATATTTGTGAGACTTCATTTGTTTTTGCAGAATCAGTATGGTTAGTAGTGGTGTGGGATAAGAAGGCATCTTCTCTGAACTTTACCTCTTCCTGAATTTCAGAGGAAATCCTTTCCTCTTTATGTGATTGTTTTGTTTTTGTTTTTTTTTCATTAAAGAAGTAATATGGAGCATTTAAGAAATCTTTACTCTGATTTTGGGAGTAATTTGTAGTAAAACTACCAGAAGTACCTTGCTTCAGAATTGAAGTTCTGTTCCCCCTCTAGGCATTTGTTTATAAATTATTTTTGAAAATCACACATGGTCTGCTAAGTGAGTGAAGAAGTTGGGAAGTTGCTATAGTTGATCCATAACAAAATCCATTTATATTCAGTCTTCTAGCAGCATCCAGATAGTGAGTGTTTCACACAAAGATGGAAAAATTAAAGTGACAAAGTTTAAAAAAAATAAAAAAAAATAAAAAAAAAAAGGAGAAAGAAAATTCTACTTTGGCTTTCTGTTAAGTTCTAATTCTGATTTGTAAGATTTTGGAGGTAAGCTAAAAATGCTTTGCCTAATGCTTAGGTACATGTCTCAGTAGGGCACAGCAGTTCAGCTGGCTGGCATAATTCGATCATCTGATGTATTTGATTACATCACATTCATATGATAATAATCCCCTTTTTTAATGTGTTACATGAGATTTCCTCTTGTGCTTAGTCAGTCCTAATAACCCTTATCTGTACTTTTATTCATTCTACTCCTTTTTTTCTTTTTATCAAGAATTCCACTGTATTGTATGTGATTATACACCTTTGAGAAAAAATGTTTTATTTTTGGAATTAGGGAAGGAATATTTTACACATTGTGCCATAATCTTTTCTTCATTTCCTTTTAAAGTAATACTTGCATTTCAAGCAATGAGGAGTTGTATACTGCTGTTGGTAAATTGATATGGCCAGTTAGGCTCAAGCAAAATGTCTTGCAAGTTATATTCCTTGCTGTTTACCAAAATTTAACTCAATCTTCCCACTGCATTTCTTTATATTCAGAGGATAATTGTAATCATTTCTATGTCATTCATTACAAAAATGGCAGGTGAGTCATCGAACAGCCTGAATCAGAGGGTGTCTGTTTCTTTTGTAATGGTGAAGAGTGATTGTTCAACCTATATAATATTAGCAATCAGTTTTTGGTCTTAGATTGCTTTTTCTCCACCCCT